CACCAACAACAGAATGTGCCCTGAGGGGGTCACAGAAATCTCCACAGTCTCTATGCCGATTCGTTGACATTTATCATGTTTTCCAGGAAAATCTTATCACCCAGCTGAGATACATTACGTTAGGTGGATGAGACAACTTCTATTAATAAGTGAACTTTGCTCTCCTGTAAGGAATCTTCCAATTCTTACGTTGGTATTTTTTACCCAGAAAGTACCTTTATGAGCACTAGCATCAACCACCTTGTCCCACGGGTATACAGCATCTTTGTTGAAATCCCTAATTCTTGAAACCAATCTGATGGCTTGGGGAGAACAAGACTTTGTAGATTATCCACATGTGAAGAGACATGGAAAATGCTTGCATAAAAATTCCTTTTCGAAAGCAAAAGTTTTAACTAATCATTTTCATCGCTATTTTTTTCTTTTAAAAAATTAAGAAAATATACTTGAGGTATTTTAAACTTCTGAGGACAAAGTGTTTCATTTAGAACAAATCTCCGTTTTCCTCAGAGATGCTCAAGCAGGTTATCTGAACAGCCCTAGAAACATTTTAAGAAGAAGCAAAAGCACAATGATGCTTTCAAACTAGGTTTAAATAGGCAGACATGAATTTTGTTCCTTTTTGGACAAAATAAATAGAATATACAAGAAACATATACTCAAAGAGTACAAACAACAGAAAATGTAGGTTTAGATGTGCAGAGGGGACTATTTCCAGAAGACAGAATATCTTATTTCACATCAAGGCATTCTGGGTGATGGCATTAGTCTGGCCGGTAAATATTGGCGCTGTTTTGAATCCTTTTCTCTCCACCTCAAGATCATATTTTAAAAAAAACCAACCCTTTCAAAGCACTTACCTCCCCTTTCAAGCACAATATTCTGAAGTTGCACACCAGCTCGTTCTGGATGTCATCTCTAAGCACATGGAGGAAAAGAAGATTATCGGGAGTAGTCAACATGGACTCACTAAGGGGAAACCATGCTTGACCAATCTGATAGCCTTCTACGACGGCATGACTGGCTGGGTGGATGAGGGGAGAGCAGTGGATGTTATCTACCTCGACTTCAGCGAGGCTTTTGGCACTGTCTCCCAAAACATCCTCGTATGTAAGCTTAGGAAGGAGTGGCTGACACGCCAGAAGGCTGTGCCACCATTCAGCAAGACCTGGACAGGCTGGAGAGTGGGGCGTAGAGGAACCTAATGAAGTTTTCAGGGCAAGCGTAGGGTCCTGCACCTAGGGAGGAATAACCCCATGCACCGATACGTGTTAGGGGTTGACCTGCAAGGAAAGCAGCTCTGCAGAGAGGGACCTGGGAGTCCTGGTGGATAAGTTGACCGTGAGCCAGCAATGTGCCCTTGTGTCCTAGAAGGCCGATGGCATCCTGGGGGCATCAAAAAGTGTAGCCAGTACATTGAGGGAGGTAATCCTCCCCCTCTACTCTGCCCTGGTGAGGCCACATCTGGTGTACCATGTCCAGTTCTGGGCTCCCCAGTTCAAGACACACAAGGAACTGCTGGAGAGAGTCCAGCAGAGGGCTACAAAGATGACCAGGGAACTGGAGCTTCTCTATTATGAGAAAAAGCTGACAAGCCTGGGTCTATTTAGCCTGAAGAAGACTGAGAGAGGATCTTATAAAAGGGTAGGGGTCAAGAGGATGGGGCCAGACTCTTTTCAGTGGTGCCTGGCGACAGGACAAGGGGCAACAGGCACAAACGAGAACACAGGAAATTCCATCTGAACATGAGGAAAAACTTTACTTTGAGGGTGGCGGAGCACTGGCACAGGCTGCCCAGAGAGGTTGTGGAGTCTCCTTCTCTGGAGATATTCAAAATCTGCCTGGACGCAATTCTGTCCAACCTGCTGTAGGTGACCCTGCTTTAGCAGGGGGGTGGGACTAGATGATCTCCAGGGGTCCCTTCCAACACCTACCATTCTGTGATTCTGTGACACTCGTGCAGCAGCTCTCTAACAAATGAA